TAAGGAAATGCAAACCAAAGCATCCCACTTGCTCATATCAGTACCGTTAAAGGATAAAATACCCCATGGGACCAGCCCATACCTAGCCAGAGGAATAAAGAAAAGAAAAAGTCTCATAATCAACTGTTTGATTAAACTTCCAATGATTTCAGTCATCTGTTTTTTGTCTAAACATTAGATTTAAATATAAGCTTGCTCCAAAAGAAGTAAGAAAGAAAGGCACTAGGATTAACACACTATGTATAATTGTTTTTTAAAAGACACTGTGTGACAGTAAGTAGAATTCTCAGGGTCTGGTTTTTCCGGCACACTGCCTTCATGACACTGAATTTACCTAAACTTCCCAGTGCCCCCCACACTCTTCTACTAAGTAGGAGTACAGCAGAGCAGACTCAGGCGTGGGGAAGCGGCTGCACTGCCAAGTGCTGGGGTTTGCACAGCAGTCCCACTTGAGAAATTCATTCAAAAGACAAAAAGGTTTGGCTGTTACAATGTTGTTCATATTTTCTAGTTGTAAAACATAATTTTATAGTATATAAAGGAACAAGTAAGCTTATATGTTCTTTTAAAAAAAATCATGCTACTTCCTTTTATAACTAAATCTTTAGCATCTTTTATAATTCAAGGGAGCTAAGGTATAGAGAAGAGCCCTGGTGGCACAGCAGTTAAAACGCTCACCGGCGAACCAAAAGGTCAGCAATTCAAACCCACCAGCTGCCCCAAGGGAGAAAGATGTAGCAATCTGCTTCCATACAGGTCACAGCTTTGGAAACCCCATGAGCACTTCTACTTTGTCCTATAGGGCTGCTGTAAGTCAGAACTGACTCAATGGCAAAGGGTTAAAGTACAGAGATTAGACTATGGGAGCTGCACTCCTAAACTGTAGTTAGTTGCATTCTAAATTGTATTTAGCCCCCATGTCAGATGTCATCTTATACTATATAAAATTACTAGACTGATCATTTGTTTGCAACAATATTAAAAGTACTGTCTTCACACACACACACATATAGGAATCAACAAGCATGAACTGGCATGACTTGAACATATCAAAATGACATAAAGTCTGCCGAATATTCTTTCCTACCAGCTACCACATAAAACTCCAAGACTTTTGTTTTTATATCTTTCATCACATATGCCCTGATTTGAAGGTTCAAGTGGCTTTTAGTGGCAACCTGTACACATTTAATCCTTTTAAATAATGAGTTCTTTAATTTAAATTAGAACTGTACCATAGGAATAAAGAATATGACTAAGTCTGGGCTCAGAGCTTCTTAAGAGGTAATAAAATGCTAAAATCCAGAAAAGAAAAACAGGGACACTGATAGGTATCAAATCCTTAGGCTTAAAAAGTGTCTCACACAGGTTAAAGAAATATCTAAAACATCCACAGTTCAAGTTGGGGGAAACAAAGAAGTATAAAATGACTACCCAGGACAGAGATAAAACAAGTTGGTAAAACCTAGGGATTTCTTCAAGAGGCTCTGTGGGCAAGATCTGTCCTGACATAAATGAACCACAGTATTCTTAATGCAAATGGGCTTCATTAGTTCTATGAATTTTTAATGTATATTAAAGTATAGTTAATTGATAATTATAGAGCTGTGTCTCTTGGCTGGGCTTTAAACAAGCTTTAACAAGGCAATTAAATATAGGAAAAAAATTAAATTAACCTATTCTAGATGGAGTAGTTTCTAAGTGTCAAGTACCTGGAATGCATCATTCATTCATAATCCATCAAGTTCTTAGTCATCCACATATGCCATCCATCATTCATGACCAATATTTCCCTTCTTCAAACAGCTTATCATTCATTAATTTCATGAATATTTAATGAGTCCCTACTATGGAAAGCACACAGTAGAATCTGGAAACATTGTCTTACCAAAACCCAAAAACAAACCTACTGCCATTGGGTTGACTGTGACGCACAGCGACCCTACAGGACAGAGCAGAACTGCCACTTGGGGTTTCCAAGGCTGTAAATCTTTTATGGAAGCTAACTTCTTTCTCCCTTGTAGGAACAGCTGGCCTTTTGGTTAGCAGCCTAGCACTTTAACTACAGTGCTACCAGGGCTCATTATTAGCAAAATAGGTATATTAATAATAATAATAATAATAATAATAAAGCAGGTGGTGGTGGTGGTGGATATTTGCAAATCTTATTGCTTTTTGCATATCAGTAGTATTCTTAATCCACAGGATGGTATGACAACTATTGTTCCAGTGGAAGTTGAGGGAAATGTTTGTCTCCTAAACTATTTTTTCTAGCAACTAGATTTAAAAATAAGACCAACAAGCCTCTGAAAATAGACTCATCCCTTCCATTGTATGAATTCATTCAGTCAAAGAAATATCAGGCTACAGCTAGTGAGTTTACATGTAGACCAGTTAGGGGAAAAAACAGAAAGAAAAAAAAAAAAACCACCATATGGGGCAACACTACATTTTTCTGTTAATGAATACTTGAAAAATGTGAATTTTAAAAATAAAATAGCTTACAAAAGTATTATACTAAGTAGTATCCTTTTGGGTATTTGTATTTTCACTAACTTCTTAAAACTTTATTAGGAAGACAAGTGACGAAGATATATTAGAAGACCGAATGGCTTCAGAAAGGGGTAGGTTAAGAGCCTTAGAACACATGAACAGAGTCAACACCAACAAAGGGCAAGATACTCTGGGAAGGTATGAAAAGGTAATGAGGGCATGGAGCATTATAACATTTTAGCTAGTATTCCATAGGGATTATCTAGTTATTTCATGGGGATTATCTAGTCATTTCCTGGTGCTCTCTCACACCAAAGCTAAGTCTTTACTTGGGATACTGAAAGTGTTGCTTAGAAAAAGGTAATACTGAACGAGGTCAGAGTTTGGTAACATGTATTAGTGAAATGGGTTGAACCTCCTGTTTTCTGTGTTGCTGTTTCTCCTCTCCTCCATGGGAATTAAAAATCATAAGCTAATGGTTTGATCCAGAAGTCTAGAGAGACCCTGAAGTACTGGATTAATGAGTATCTAGTCAAAATATGCTTTGTAATCAAGGGTCATGGAATTGAGTTCATAACAGCAATTATCTTCTCATCTAAGTATGATAATAGCTGTATTTTTCTGTTCCCAGAAAGGGGAGCTTCTGTTTATTGGGACTAAAAAAAATAAAAAGCCAAACTCACTGCCTTCAAGTCAGATCCGATTCATGGCAACCCCTCCTTGGGTTTCTGAGGAGGTATCTTTACAGAAGTGGATTGCCCACAATCTTTCTTCCGAGGAGTGGCTGGTGGGTTTGAACTGCCAGCCCTCTGGTTAGCAGTCAAATGCCTTAGGCAGTACGCCACTAGAAAGCTCACTCAATTCAACAATCTGCCATCAACAAAACTGTGATGTCCCAGTAAACAAGCCATTTCTTTCCCCTTTACGGCAATGAACCTAGCTCAAGTCCAGGGTTTCTACCACAGTGCAGAGGAAAAGTTTGTCTTTCTCCACACATTTTTCCCTACCTTATAGGTGACCTAGCAAGTACAAAAGACAAATAGATAAAAGTGATGATCACACTTGTTTCTGCCACTATCACTCACATTCTGCACATACACAGGGCAACACACAGCCTCTACCATTATGAGAACTTTTAGAAGGGCAGCTCTTTTTCATATTCCCTGTGTGTATGTGTGTTTTAGTGGGGTATGAAATTCATTGCAAACAGGATAGAGACGAGAATATCTTCGATACACATCCTTGAAATAAGACAGATGAGGAAAAATATACACAAAAAAATGAAATGGATAAAAAATATGGAGCAAATTGAGAAAATAAGAAAAAAGGTATACAGGAAAGAAGAAACACAGACCATTTATAAACAGGTAAATACATTAAGAAAGTAGACATTACCTGGCCCCCTTCCCACCCCCTTATCACCAACCTGAAAAATCCAGCCCTTGTATTGAAAAGATAAGACAGAGCTAGAAGGCAGATACTTTGGTACCTCATCCCTGATAAGTTCAGTATCAAAGATTTTTGTTTTTATTTTTTAAATAAAGATAAAAGAACTAATCTTTAAAACTACTCTTTCCCCTCTGGCTTTTGCCAAGTAATGTTTAATAGTCACTTGTAATTTCTCCAGTGTACCCTCAATAACTTAAAATATATTTTTTAAAAGAAGGATTTTATGAATACATTTCTATGTATATTTCTCTTATTTTTTATCAGCAAATTTGGAAGGAAAAAAGTAAAGCAGTTATAACTAAAATGGCATTCCAGGTGTCTAGGGGGAAAAAAAGATTTTATAAGGGCTGACTTGAGTGTTTTTGGCATATACCAAATTTGAAGTAAAAATAACCTATCAAAAGTAGTAATAAAAATAATTTCCCAGTACTATAATTACATAAACTCTGAAAATTAGTTTTGTTTTTTGTTTTCCTAATAACCATTTTAAAAACAGATTATAATGGAAGCATATTTTCATATAAACTCCAGTATTTCTGACTTTGGTTATGTTAGTCTATAACTTGAGTAGAACACACTAGAGAAAAAGAAACGATTTGTATTTTCACATCTGTCTATCCAGTCGTTTGTTTCTCAACACAAATATTAGATCAAGTCATTTTGCATTTGTGTTAATCTTAAGCTAAACTACAATATAAATACTTAATTTTAAAAAATTAGCCTATGCAGCAGTTGCACTGAGGTGGGAGTGTGTATGAACCAATTAGAAGAACCAAATAAGCAGCAGCCCCACAGGTAGAAGTATAAAGGATAAAAAATTAAAAAGAAAAAATTTAAGACTCACTGTTCATCAGCAGGAAGGAGCTATACAGTTACTTCATCCCCAAGGGAATGCCAGTTATTAACAAAATAAATAAAATGAGTTACTAAGGATTTTTAACCTAAATATGAAGAACATAAGGTTAGCCAATAATAGCAAACAGTCCATGCAACTATGTAAATAAGAAAGGAAAGTAATATTGCACTAAATGGGGAACCTTGCAGGATGCATTCACCTCTCATTGACTCAAAGTATCCAGCCATTTCCTATATGCATTGGCAAACCGAGCTTGCTCTACATTCCGGCAGGTGGACAACACTTGATCAATGAACCGGTGCTCCATTTCTAGGCCTAGGCAGTCTGGAGCTGGGGTCCGCTTCAGGCGTTTGGTTTCCTGGGAATAGCCTTGCTTGTTAGAGTCATTCAGTCCATCCACCTCCATTGCCAGAGCTGTGGGGGCGCCTGCTGGGATGAGATGCAAGTCACTCAAAGTCCCCCCAGGGCTGTCTGTAGGTGACAACTGGGTCATGTTGTGAGGAAGCCTACCATTTAAATGATGCTGAAGGAAGAAGACATGCCTCCTGTCAAAGAGAAAGGAAGGAAAGGAGGGGACAAAAGAAAATTACATCACAAAGTTAAGCTTCTCATGAAAAACAAAAATTAAGTTGATAATTTCAAAACATAGAGTACTCAGTTCCCCGCCTCTTTCATAATCCAGAGCTATCTGGGGGAAGGAGGGAAAAGAGCCAAGATGAAGTCTCTGGGTAACTGGACAAAGCCTTACAACCCCAGCTTACTGGTTTGCCTGTGATAAAAGAACACTACCCCAAAGGTTTTCTAATAAATATTTATTTACTGAGATGAAAAAGACTTGGAGTTTTCATTCTTTTGGTAAACAGAACATGAAATTAGAAATAGGCCTTTGCTCAATTTCTGCTATAAATCATAAAACCAAATCAAACAAAAAATTAAGCTCATTGATATCCTAAAACACAAGTGATTCAAAGACAAGAGGATTAAATAGTTCCTCCAGAGGCTTAGTCCATGGCCTCTACCCTATACTTGCTTTAATAAGCACAACAGATCTGAGCCTCCTGGTCTTATTATCTAGAAACCAACTGAGATTTCCCCTGGACCCCACTGTCACAGTCTTATTAACCATCTGCATCCAATGGGGATGTGCTGGGCTCGGAGCAAAGCATGGTAAAACACACAGTTGCTTCTTCCTCTATGGCAGTACTTTTCCTATCCTTAGAATCTCCTGGAGTTGTCTGCTCAAAATGAAAATCCATGCACTTAATCTCCAAGAATTCTGATTCAGTGGCAGGGGGTGGAGGGAGTGTACAATTACTGTACACAATAGGGAAAGTGACATATGTTCTAAGTGGCTATTTTTCATTATTCATGTTAGCCCTTAGGAGATAATTCTATTCATTTCTCTGGTATCTTCCAAAACAGATCCAAAAACCAACCTCACTGTCATCAAGTCAATTCCAACTCACAGTGAATCATATTGGGTTTCCACAGCTGTAAACTTTATGGAAGTAGATTGCCCCATCTTCCTCCCATGGAGCAGCTGGCAGGTTTGAACTGCCAAGCTTCTAGTTAGCAGCCAAATGCCTTACCCACTGTACCACCAAAGCTCTAAAGTAGATAGGGAGTATATAACATACCAATTCTATGGAGGATAAAACCTAAAGGGTAGGTGAGCTGCCTAAGAGCAATGAATCAGCAGGGGAACACTGGCCTGTGTTATATATGGGCCATCCCAACAGTCTCTCATCCTCTCTCCTCGTCCCCAAACTCCAAATAACCTTTATATGAAAAAGTTAGTTTCTGTGCTATTAATTTAGCTACTTTTCAAACATGCACAATTTTTTAAATTCCCCAAACCCTGCCATTAATATGTCTAAATACAAAATAACAAAAATCTGTAAGACCAAAACAACCTGCAAATTAACATCTTTCTCTTGAAAATGTGGAATAAAAATGTCTTGGTTTTACAAAAAAAGGAGAATTCTATATTTACAAAGTACCAAAGAATAGACAGCATCTTTTATCTTCTGAATACATTTAGCATAGAACAGCAACTGAACAAGCTCGGTCTTAGAGCATACAAGAAAGATTGGATTGGAGACGGGAAAATTCTCAGCAACTCTAAAAATACACAAATTTTAAAAATGCCTACCTCTTGCCTAACAAAGGCAAGTTTTTTGTTTACAAAAGCAATCTTATATACCCTGAAGTAAAATCCGTTTTTATGAAGACAGGCCTCAAACTAGAGGAAGATTAAAACAAAAACAAAAACGAAAAAAAGAAAGAAACCACCATGCACGGGTTCACATACCTAGAGTCTATTCCAACATGAAATTTACTTTCCTGTCAAATGTACTCAGAACTCAGATCATGAGATTACTCACCCCTTTTCACTTTTTTTTCTACTAGTCCTGTCCATCTCTTCCACTTTCTTTAAAAAAAAGCAAAAAATGTCAAGAGATCATACTTAAGGAAGGTAATTTGCAGACCATTAGGGTCTGAAGAATAATAAACTTTAAGGAAGTCTCAGGGTGTAATCAATTGCTCTAAACCCTGACTGTGCATCAAATTCTGTTAGGACTGTTTGTTTATTTTTTAAACACAAATGGCAGGAACTATCCCAGATATGTCAAATCTCCAAGGAGGAACCCAGAAACATTTGTTTTATTTTGGAAGTAACATAGGTTATACTGTTAAACACAGTCAAAGTCGAATACCACCATCCGTTGAGATGGAGAGCGACCCCTCCTTGGGGTACCAAGGCAGTATCACTATGGAACTAAATTGCCCAATCTTCCTTCTGAGAAGCCATAAGAAAGATCTGAGTGAGGAACTTCATATTGATGATGATGTGATAACACAAACCCCTTCACGTATTTACTCAAGGTGGCAGAAGGCAAATGTAAGACCTTCTGTGGCTCTCATAAAGGGAAGGACAATTTCATAAAGGAATGGGTTTCCCCTTCTCTTACCTATGACACCATAGCGTTTCATGTCCTGGGTAGGTATCAATGAGATCAGTGGTGAATTCAACTTCTTCTTCTAGAAGATGGGGAAGATTAATCCTTGGTTCTTCTGTTGAAGCTGCTGCTTCTTCATCTTTTGGAAGAACTAGGGCAGGCTCACTTCTCAAAGGGTTTTGCTCCAATACAGAACCATCTATCACAGTTTGGCTAATCAAAGACTTTATCAAAAACTGGCGGTAGTGAAATCCACTGTGGTCTGAAACATGCATGGATGCCCAATGCTTAGTAGAAGAGAGTTCATCAAGAAGAATCTTACAGGAAGAAAAAAAAGGAAATGAGAAGAATAATTTCCAGATGTTTTTCTTTTCCTACCAACACCTTGCATGGGTTTCTCTTTGATTTGTTCCTTGTTCTGTTTAAGTCATTCCTACTAGTATTTTTGAACTCCTCTTACCTCTCTGTAAAATGAGGGTAAGGTTATTTTAAGGTTAAGTACAGTGCTGTCACTTAATGGAAGTTCAATATATATGATAGTTTGGCCTTTTCCTTATAAAGAGACAGAAGATATTTTTTAAATCACAGATTTTAAGGACTATTTTGTCATTCTTTCCTGTATCTTGAGTAACCACATTCCAATTGGAACGCAGAGAGAAAAATCAAATTCTAAAACAATGATGAACATTAGAATATTCATTTACAAGTAATGCTGACATAGAAGGAAAAATACAAATATAAAGTCAGAAGTTACTTTTATTGAAACCTCCTTTTACATTTAAAAAACACGTACTATAGCAGAGAAACATTGTCTGATACATTACTGGGCAACTTTATGAATAGCATGGAAACATTCTCCAACACAGTGCAAGAAGACTAGCCCCTTGGGTTGGAAGGCACTCAAAATAGGACTGGGAAAGAGCTGCCTCATTACAACAGAACCAACCTTAATGATATGGATAAAGTAGTCTTTCAGGACTTCCATGTGCTGACATAGCACAACTCACATTGAGGAGAAACAGCTGCAAACATCCATTAATAATCGGAACATGGAATGTATGAAGTATGAATCTAGGAAAACTGGATGTTGTAAAACATGAAATGGAATGCACAAAGACTAATATCTTGTTGGGGACCAAGAAAAAGACCCCAAAAGAACATGATTGCAAGGCACATGGTCTAATTACAGTGAAGAGATGACAAGGCCTCTCTTGTGATCGAGTGTTTGCTTTTGGAGATGGCAAGGCCTCTCTGTGGTTGAATGTTGCTTTAAAAGATGGCAAGGTCTCTCTCACTATTAAATACTTAATTGGCAAAACATCAAAGTATTAAAAGTAGGTATTATTCTCCATGTTTTTATCTTATACTTTGGGTTACTGTGTCCTAGTAAACATTTATCATTTTACACTCCTTATTCCTCAAGAGACTTCTGTGATCGTTTTAATGACGACCTGTTGTCCTTGAGCACGTAGAGGAGTAAAACTTTAGCTCTGTAGAGAATAAGCTTCTTGTATGACTTCCAAGACTAATGATGTAATCATATACAAACATATAAATAAAGTAGAACAAAGGCATCAGGGGTCGCTCTCACAGAACATGCACGGTGTCCGCCTAGCCCCTGTTCCTTAATGAATAATAATAAAGAAAACCATTAATCCTTTTGTGTTGCTTCACTTTGTGACCTGTGCAGTTTTGCCGGACGCATTAGTACCCTAGGCATATCCTAGGCATTGTGTTGTGTTGTGTGTTATGTGCCGTTGAGTCAAACCCGACTCATAGCGACCCCTCCTTGGGTTTCCGAGGCAGGATCACTACGGAAGTAGGATTGCCCAACCTTCCTTCCGAGGAGTGGCTGGTGGGTTTGAACCGCCAGCCGTCTGGTTAGCAGGCAAGTGTCTTAGCC